CCATCGCACGGAGGAAGACAAGGTAGGCAGGCAGTGCAATCATGGAGCAGAGCAGTACCAGGAGTTATTTATGAGGACTTTAAAGTCAATGCTAAATAAACTCGAGGAATTGGGAGAAACGCCCTTATCCCCTTTAGTTTGTAAATGAAGTTTGTCCCTGGTTCCCAATTGAAGGTACGTTCTGTGAACCCTAATTAGAGACATGCTGGATCCTCGGCATGAGAGTGATAAAATTAAAAATTTGATCTCACAAGCTAAAGAGTTGCTTGGAAAAATTAGAGCAGCCAAACACGCAGGAAAAAAAGTACTTCTAAGGTTATTTCAAATGTTCATAAAGGAGCTCAAACAGATTTGTGTAATTTGAGAGCAGATAGTGAGGATGAAACGGAGTCAGAGGAAGAAACTGCCAAGTCTCATAATTCAGACTGGCCTTCCGCGCCCTCTGTTCCTATGGCTTTCCCTGCCACATGTGCAGGAGATACGGACCACTGCAGGAAGATATTAATGTTCTCCGAGAGAAAGTCCAATTAGAAAGGGAACAAGTTCAGTTATTAAGGTAATTAGAGAAATTAAAAAAACAATAATAGTAATAACCACCACCATAATAAAATTGGATTGTTTGCACTGGTAAATTTTAAAGTCTGGTTTTAACTTTTAAAATTATAAATGTGCTTTACGATTTTACTCCTAAAGAGGATGCTGTGCTTTAATATTACAAATACAGGTTTTAAAAAATTTTTTTAAATATTTAAAAAGCAGGTACCACGGCTGTTTTTTTGTCTTTGTCTGCCGGATATCTGTTTTGGTTTCTGGTTTTCGGTTTGCTAGCAAGGTCTGGGAAAACTTGGGAGTTTCCAGTCTGGTCGAGGGAATATGGAGGACGCTCCATTTCCCAGGGAAGAGGTCCATAAAGGTTATACTCCTTTTGGGGCCAGGAGAGAGGGTTGCTGGGACCCTATTCTGTGTGATAAGAGGGCTGCTGGAGCCCACTCTCCATCTGGAAGCTGTGGAGTGTGCCATGGGGGCTCTGCTCCTTCTGATATCTATGTTCGTAGAGGGGACCCTTGAGGGGGTCCACTCCTGGAATTTGTGGGATTTGTGTCTGGTAGGAGCTAGTCAAGTCCTGGTATTTGAGTATTCTGGTTACTCCAAGGTGACAATATCAGATTTCTATGTTCCTTAGCTATGTCTCTATATGTGTGTTTATTTGTGGACTTGACAATATTTTAAAATCTGACAATATTAGTATTTTTAGACATGAGATAGTTTGACTCAACACCTCTGAATTTGGTCCTGGACCATCAGTTAAATTCTAATCAGGTATTTTAAAATAATAACCCAAGGACAGTCTTTGAGAAATGGAACTATGGCTAAGACCCGCATCTGCCAAGGCCAGGAGGCAGAATTCCAATTACCAGACTCCTTCAGAACATGCTGTTTAGGTTTCCTCTCAGGCCATGCACTTCTTAGCCTGCACCAGGGAATCTTGACTATCACACCTCAAGCTTCCTCCACCCACTTGTACTATAGGGGTCAGTTCAGTCAGGTTGAACTTGGCCTCAAAGCTCATCTAGCTGAACAAGAGTGAACCCCACTCTCACTGGGTGTACCCTGGTGTGGCTGTTTCAGCAGCCTGGCAAATCTCTCTGCAGAGCTGTCCAGAGGATCCTTGGAATTAGCACCAGGGTAGGGGGGTCAGGGCAGTACAGGGCCCAGGAGGCCCTCTGAACTGCTGTGCTGCAGGGTCCTGCTTCAGCTTTGGTCTGTAAGGTCTCCATGCCCATGTGGGACACAAGGCCCATTCCAAAGTGAGGTCCACAGGATACCACTCCTCCACAGAACTCATACAGGGCGACCCCCACATCTGAGCCTAGCCCATCTTGCAACTGTATGTAAAGAGGCTGTTTGATTTTCTCTTTTCTAGTGGGTGTGTAGTTTACTGTGTTGATTAGCTTTTACTTCACATTTTCAGGGCATGAGCCAGGTTTGGCGATCCAGACCTGCAATCTCAGCACCTGGAGGATGGTCAGAAAGATTTTAGTTTTAGTAAAGTTCAGTAGCAGTCCTTCCATAGTCAGGCTCACCCCAGTGATGTCTGTTGCCATGAAGCCTGTACTGCCATGTCACCACCACCTAGAGCGCAGTATACATCAGGTCACTCTTGCCAACTATGTAACAATGTGTCTACACATACAATCCTGAGTAATACCGTCTCCACAAACTGGGCAGGTTCCTAGCCCTCACAGTGGAGGTTCCCAAGGATAGTATCACATTTCTTGGAAAAGCATAAAGCATTTCCCTCCCAGACACTCCTGATGTCAGACACATGGCACATCCATGTTCAGTGAAGCAGGGAAACACAAACGAGAATTTTTTTTTTTTTGGTAGCCTGCTCTAGTCCTTGGTCATGTGACACTCCAGTAAGCTTCAAGGGTTACCACCCCCATCAGATACAGGAGATACATCGGTCACTGGGAATGGGAACAACACAGAAAACCACTGATACCTTACCAGCTGGTATTGGACAAACACTACACACCCCTTTAATACTGTGCACATTCTTGTCCAGGCCCAGGCAGCCTGGAAAATTGGTTTTTACAAGAACTACTATTCCTTGGGTCAAGAGTAAAGTCTAAGAGGGCTGGAGAAATGGACGGCTCAATGGTTAAAGAGTACTGGCTGTGCTTCCAGAGAACTCGGGACTTAACTTCTTGCACCCACACTGCAGCCAGCACCTGCCTGCAACTTCATTCCCAGGGATCTGACACCCTCATACCGACATGCAAAACAGCAATGAACATGAAAGGAGTTCCTCTGTTAATCCCAGCACTTAGGAGGCAGGCAGATCTCTCAATCTGAGACCAGCCTGATCTACAGGTCTAAGTCACTACCACAGTTGTGTGTAATGACATGCACAACCATGCAGAGTCTAAGTATGAGTAGGCATGGTGGCACACATGCCTGTTACAGCAACACTTGGGAGGTGAAAGCAAGGAGCTCAAGGCCAGTCTCAGTATCTCAGTACTCACACTTCTGGCCCTAACGAACCAAATGCACAAGAAAACAAAAGAGGAGATAGGACAGTCTAGAATCACGAATCAGAAATCCCAAGCAAATGTTACTTAAAAAAAAAAAAAATTCAATCTACAGAATATATTCTGTATCTTAAAAAAATCCAGTGACACAATGAAATCACCAACCTGCTTCCGTGCAGAGGGCTTTCTATGGAATACCCAATACTGAAATCCAAAGCATGAGCTGTAATAGTGGGCACTTTTCCGTACTTTTTACTCACAAGAAAATGAAAACAGCTTAACTTTTTAATATTAAAGCAGAGACAAAAATTTAATTTTAACATCGTTTTAATCAAGTAATGCAGCTGTTTTAAAACAGGAAACTTTTTAAGACACCTCAATAGAGCAATGAAGGATTACTCTTATCAGGTTAACCTCTATGAATAAAACTCAGATTCTGTGAATTTGAATCCCACTGGTTTGGCACCAGAACGAACAGTGGCTGAAGCCCAAGTCCCTTTCTCAGTGTGGAAGATCTGACTGTTTCCCTATAATAGCAACAGCTCTAAGACAAAATCTTGCCAGCCTGAGTCTGAATGTGCAGATACACTTGAGGATCTCAGAAAATGACAAATGGATGGGCCAGTCATGCAACAAAGAATCTGAAGCCCAAGTGACTTTTCAAGTACCACTTCTTTGGTGTGACACAGCACATTCCCTTGCTACCACTCCAGGTATATGACTCCTGGTCCATGCTCACCAGACTCTTGTATTAAGGTTTTAGTTTTTCCAAATGTTTAAATTTCAATGCAAAAAGTTTTCTTACATAAAGTCTTATAATCTGTGAGATGGAGGACACAAAGGATAAGATCCAAATGATGTATGAGCTAGTATACCACACAAAATTAACCACATGGGTTCTTAACTCCCAGAATGCACTTTTGTGAAAAGAAATATGTGCTGTTTTTAATATTGAAGAAAACTATTCAAATATAGTCAGGATCCCAGATGTAGCTTACACCAGCTAGTGGGTCAAGAATTCACTTATGTGTGTGTGAAGTCCCAGGCTGTGAATGGGCTGGTCAGGCCTTAGCTAACTGTACCCACCCAGACATCACCAGACTTCTCAGGTATCCAGCTATATTCAATGTGAAATAAAAAATATCCCAAGTCTTACACCAAAATACAGGCTCTGACTCAGAAGTATGATTTTAACTTTCTCTTTAAATAAGATAATTGGGGGAGGGATCAAGCTTGAAACACAGCAACACTTATTTTGGCAAGATAGCAACCAAAATCTGAAGTACAAGCTATTTTATCCAAATTAAAAGGCATTAAAGAATAAACCATAATATTGGGGGAGGGGAAACACAGCAAACACAAGATACAGTATGTCTAAACATCTTGAAATTATAATTTAAGGGTAAAAGCTGAGAAATTATGCTGTTTTAGCTAGAAATTAAGTGCACCTTTTTTCCTGTTTCTCCCAAATAGAATCAGAGCTTACGATATCACACCTCAAAGCTTTTCTCTCAGTACAAAGCAACCACTAAACACACACAAAATACTTATTTGTTAATAATTTCCCTGGCTCGTCCAACGTGCAATGCACATGACTCCAAAGACTACAATTTGGGGTGAGTGTACACAAACTGAAAAACCACAACTCCAAGTTTTAAAACTTGTTCTTAAAAACCATAGGATACGCAGGTCATTTTTACTTCTCATGAGGATATCACACTATCATTTAATCATCTTCTTTAGAATGACAAGAATTACCAGTTGCCAATCTGAACTAATTAGGACTAGAGATACAACTTTTAGAATACTTCATTTCTTAATGGCTGAGTAAGATCATTACAATTGTTTGCATTCTGCAAGCTTCAGCACCTAACAATCTACCAGGCTCAAGGATCTTAAGTTAAATGGTGTAACATCCTAAAAGTAGCCAATTACTTCAGTATAAGCCATTCAGAGCCCAAAATCTGAAGAATGACCAAAATCAAATCTTTATTTTTTATAACTGTATAAATGTGATCCAAATGTGTCCATCACTAGTTTTTCCAAAAGAAACATGCTATAAATAAGCAAACTACAACTGCTCACTGATAAGTATGGACTCCCTAGATGTCTCATTGGGCTTAATTATAGACCACTCACAGTAATAGCTTTTTAGTTATCGAGTGTAGCATGATGTTAAGCCATTTTAGCTCTTGCACATACATGTTTCACTTCTGGCTGATAATGGAGAAAATTTTGCAGCATTACACTGTTAAGCTAAGTTGCATCCATCCTTTTAAATGGCATCAATATCAATGTCATCATCCTTGTTGTCAGACTTCACAGTTTCAACTTTGGGGACACTGGCAGTCTTCGAATACACCACCTGACAAATCAAACACAGAAATTAAACAACCAACCCTAATTATATTATTTCCATTAAAATTCTTCTGTCTTTTACTTTTTGAGGAAATTACAGTATTTACATTACCCTTTCCTCCCTCCAAGCCTTCCCAGGATTTTCTTCAGACACATGACCTTATGCTAGCATTAAAGGCGTATGCTACCATTGCAGGCTCTATTTTGCCTATCTTAAATTATGCCTAAGGGCAAATGTATATCATTATAATTGTATTAATCTATTTTACAGGGCCGGGAAGAGTTGAGCATACTACGTAAGCAAGCATTTTTTTTCCAAACCTTGAGTCCTCTTCCAGCCGTGGAAAAAAGAAAAAACTGTCTCCTCTAACTGTTGGCCTCAAACTCAGAGACCCACCTCCCTCTGCCTCTCTGAGTGCTGGAATTACAGGTGTGCCACTGCACCTGGCCTGTAGTGCACATTTTTAATCCTAGTGCTCTGGAGGCAGAAGTGGGCAGATCTCTGAATTTCAGGCCAGCGAGGGCTTCACAAACAAACCCTGTCTGGGGGTGGGACTGGTCTAAGATCTTAATACCCACTGCTAACCAAGTACTCACTAACACATTTTCTGGTATTTACCTCAATATTTTCATCTTCATCTTCTTCCTCACCACCAGAAGATTCTTCCTCTGCTTCCTTCAACCATTTAATAAATGGTTCTGCTTTGACACGAATCTCTTTGGCAAGTTCTTTTGAGACATATTTCTTAGAGGCCTAAACAAGTCAAGAATTTTCTCAGTGAAGACTTGAAAATATAAATTATTTCTATAATGAATCATTTAAAGGGCCCATGTCATACCCTAATCTTCAGTAGACAGAAAATATACACGAGAAGTCTAAACAATCTCTGCTGCCTTAACTATAAAGGGATTCACAAACTGCATCAGTAAGTATAGAAATTCAACTTAATGAATGTAAATAGGATTAGCCATTTTGATGCTTCTGAAATTTCACAACACAACTTATGTGCTCCCTACCTTTTCTGACCAGCTGATGATGACCTCCTCTTCTAAAAGGTCTGCATCATACATCTCCTTCAAGATATGTGGAATCTTGGAGATCAGCTGAGTTTGATGCATGGCTACCACACACTCCAGACCATGAAGAAGGTACCGCTGAGCCTTTTTGTTGTTATGACAAAACTGCAAGTAGACAGCATTAACAAACATCTATCTGTTCTAAGATAATTTAGAACCTAAGCATATTCATTTTCTTAAGGTAGAACACATCTAACAGTGGCTCAAAAAGGTCAATGCACAGATACCCTTACCATCTGCAGGTGCTCCCAGAATTGGTAAAGTGAGCCAATTATCTATTTTCAGGATGATAATATAGCAGGGTGAAACAATTTAAAGCCACAGCACTAAGGTCTCAGTCTTAACTTATAAACTTAAAAAAAAAAAAAAAATCTCTTACCCTTAGGAAATGGCGCCTGTATTTCTTGATTTGCTCTCTTATCTTCTCATTAAAGAGAACTTCAGTCAAAACAAGAGGACCCATGGCTTTTACATCCAGTCTCTCTGCCTCAGCCACAATTTCTTTATCAGATGAATCAATAATGCCTTCTTCTTTCTTTTTCTGGAAAGAAAACAGGCATCTTTTGCTGTGCTTGAGAACAGTTCTTCACAATTTCTACCCAATTCATGACTTTCCAAAGACAGTTCAATACCCAATACTTTTCTTTAATAAGCAAAGAAGAAAAGAAAATACAAGCCTTGCATTAATTAGTCTAAGAATGGCAGAGTATGGTGGCACCAGAGACTCAGATTTCTGTGAGCTCGAGGCTAGCCTGGTCCACATGAGTCCAGGGCAGTCTGGGCTACAGAGAAGGCCCTGACTGAAAACAAAAACAAAAGACACCAAATAAATAAATTCAAAGATAGCACAGAACAAGTTAACTATGCAAATTTACCTTAACAAAATCAAACAGGATGTTGACACGCTCTTCTATAGTTCTTTCCAAATCATCACTGAGAGTCAGACCTTTTGCATGGTCACTGATTTCATCCATTCTACGCCTCTGAGCTTCCTCAGTTGTATCCTCCCCCCAATCATCATCCTCCTCTTCTTCCTGTTTATAGAAAAAGAAAATTGGTATTAGTCACATTGACAGGCTCAAGAACCTTCTTTACCCACAGACTATAATCAGCCAAGAGAACAGTATCATTCATACCAGAGTAAAAACAAAACAAAAAAAAGGAATATTAAGCAGGAAAAAGTTCTCAAAAATATATTTTTCAGTTCAACTCAAACAATCAATACTACAGTTAATAGCAGCATTAATAAATTTAAGATTTTTGCTTATTTTAACAGAACACCAGGCTTTTCACACAATTTTAAGTGTCCTAAACTTACCACAGCATGTGGAGGAGGACTAATTTCATTTGGTGGTGGAGGTGGTGGTGTCTCACTGCTGGATACGGAACCATTTTCCTTGTCCTTGCCCTTTCTATTTTTCTTTTCCTTTTCTTTCTTTCCTGTACCACTGTCACTATTCTCTATAGGAAAACAAGGGGGAAAATATCAACAGAATTAAACAAAATGCAACTGAGAATTCTGCACTCTTTAATCCTAGTACTCAGGAGGCAGAGGTAGTTGGATTTCTGAGTTTGAGGGCAGCCTGGTTTACAAAATGAGTTCTAGGACAGCCAGGGCTGTTACACAGAGAAAACCTGTCTTTAAAAACCAAGAGAATTCTGAAGGAATTCAGAGAGCAAATAAGTTTACTAACTACATTTTATAGGTTATGAAATTTGGCAAAGCAATACTATGACACACAGTATTGGGGATATTAAACTATTTCAAGGTTTATCCCACAGATTTAAACAAAAACCACATCCAAAAGCAGACTGACACAACAATTAAGAGTTTGTTTGAGCCTATATAACGGCTTGTCTCATGGGGAAGAGAACACCGGAATAGGTTAGACTTTCTTGCTATAGCAAGCTCAAATTGTGCCAGACAGTTTTGTTCATCTGCCACAGAGTGTTGCTTGCAACCCTTTAAAGCCACAGTAGCTTTACAGACAAGCCTTGGTTCTAGAACAGTAGATCCTTTGATGAGTTCACATCATAAAATATTTTATGAATTGGCAGGATATACTTTGGCTTTTTCACTTTCATTGTTATAAAAAACACAACATGTTTCAATATTGTCTTATACTTGGAAGGCCAGAGCAAGTGCGATGGTGGCTCATGCCATCCCAGACTTGGGAGGCAAAAGTCAGCCTGGTCTACAAAGTGAGTTCCAGGACAGCTAGAGCTGTCTCAAAAACACACACACCCCTACACTAAGTCCAATGACTAAATGCTCCTTATACTGTATTACCACAAACAAAATCATCTCCCACCCCACAACAGTCATTCTGTTAAAAAGACTTACCAGGTGGGTTTTTGAGAATGAATGTACAGAGTTTGTGATGTGTGTCAAGCATGCCTCGGTACCCACAGGCTTTACAAGAATTACCTATTGTTTGCTTCTTTGGATTGACATGCTGTCAAGAAAAGTAAAAAATATCATCTACAGTGAAAAGATTAAAATTGTATTTAAGTTTATGTAAAAGGGCCAGCAGACATCTAAAAAATTAGCTTAACACAAATTGTGTTCATGTTATTCTAATTTTAACAGAAGGCATTTTCTAACAAGTCTGCTGTGCCTTCCCAGAAACATGAAAAGTATTATCACAAAAGCACACACAGAGTGAGAAACAAATACAAACAAAACAACAAAAAAACCTTAAAGGCACTCACCAGATCTGTTTCAGGATTCTCACACTCAGGACAGAGAACAAATTTTTTAATGAATCCATCCAACATGTCTTGCAGCTTATTCGCCTCATGAGATCCATTGACAATGTAACGGTCATTCTTAACATCAAACTGGGTCTGTGCTCCCAGTTCACAACCAAAATATTTGGTGGGATCTGTAGAAAGACATTTCAGTACAGGTAACTAAAGCACTGGCCGCACAAGAACATTTGTTAAAAAACTCACCGTGTCTTAAAACTACGGGGCCACTGAGATACAGCCAGGGTGATATAATGACAGCCAATCAAGTAGGCGTGAAGCTCCACACTCGTTAATTAACGTAAGTAGCTCAAAGACTGCCAACACTATATCCATAATATACCTTTTCAGGCTTCTCCAAGCTTTACTTACACGTTGGAGGCCGATTAAGCGCCTTTGCAACGTCAACCATGTTGACTATAACTGTCTTGATTCCATTTCCTTTGCCCTCAACCTAAAGGAAATAAGAATTTCAATTTTGCACCGTCTTCCCTGTAAAATGCAATCTTTCAAAACCCATGAAGAGGGTATGGACCAACTTCCTATTAAAATGAGTATCAGCATTACCTTAGCAATCAAACGGGGCATCTTGTAGCGATAGAACTGGTCTGACACGCTGCGGTTGACGTTGACAGACATTTTGGCTTATTAGTGACTTTATCAATAAGATGAACAGATCTTTGATTGCAACTTTTTGGTATCTTCTGTCTGGAGAAGAAGGGATGACATAAACGACTGCAAGAGTTCTCGGTCTCTGACATGAAAAAATTTTCGCCACTGAGGCTGTAAGCTTCTTGCTTGTATGCTATGTTTCCCCAATACAGGTACCAATGGCTGCGCAACAGCTCTGAAAGAGAAAAAGAGAGAACACACAAACATCCCTACAGGTTTACTACCATTCCTATCTGGAACAGCTTCCTGTCCCAGAGCACCCCCATAATTAACACTCCCAGCCTAACAGGCCTGGGTCCGTGGGGGAGAACAGTTGACATTCCCATGTAACAAAGCACAGCTCGAGGAACCCAGGAGGCCACCATTTTGACAAGAGCTGTGACCGTGGCAGGGAGAAGACAACACAAAACACAAACCCTGCTCCCTCAGCTGCCGTGAGTTTGTCAGACCAAAGACCAGCGGCGAGTCATAGGCTGCCCCTGCCGAGCGACCGTGCTGTAACTGCCGAAAAGGGGATCCGGGCCCTCCTCTCCCTCAGCTTAAGCCTGTGAGCAAACAACTTCTCCAATCGCGCCTCCCCCGGCTGCCATCGTTGGAAAACGGGAAACGTCGAGCCGGACCTGCCAACCGCGAAGTTGCGGCTTCGGCGACTCGGGGTGGCTGCGGGGCGGCACGTCCAGGCCAGGAGCCATTGGCTCCGTCGGAGCACGAGGAACGCGGCCACGGCCGCGCCCGGCCTCCCCTCCGCTCGCTCCCTCGGCGCAAGGCCGACCTTCGCCCTCGTCCCCATGGCTACAGGACAGCGAGAGCCTGTCGCCCGGCCTCCTACTTCCGGCGCCCGGCGGGGCAGAGGTGCGGCCTCCCTGAGTCACAAACGCGCCCCGGGCCTGACTCAGGCCGCCCCGGCACGCGCGCGCGCGCGCGCTCCCGCACAGACCGGCCCCCCCAAACTGCGCCACACGCGCGGCAGGTCACGCGGCCTCGCCGCCATCTTGCCGCCGCCATGGCCCGCCGCCCGCGACTCACCGTTTTCGTCAAATAAAGACATAAACCCAACGCGGCTCGCCCGGGACTGGGAGGAAGAGGCGCTGGAAACCGGGTCCGGAGCGGCGGGGCGGGCGGCGAGCGGAGGGGCGGCTGGGCAGGTGCCGCCGCCGAGCAGCGGGAGGGGCTGTCCCAGCGACGTCCGCGTCCACACCAGCAGCGCCGAGCCTGGCGACCTGGCGGGGACACGGCTGTGAGCCGCGGGCGGCGCCTGCCCCCGCCGGCGGCCCGCGGGGTGGAGGGGCGGGAGCGCTGGGCAGGGGCACGGGCCACCGCCCCCCGCGGACTCACCTCTGGAATGTTCTCGCTCTGACTGAACAACGCCGCCGCCGCGCTCAAGCTACCCTCGGCCCCAGGTCCCGCCCCCTGCAGCGGGCGGCCACTGCTCATTGGTCGCAGGCCTACCGGAGTTCGCTCGTCATTGGCTTGCCCGCACGTCCATCGAGCCTTTCCCCTCCCTCCACTTCCTGGGGCTCCACTCGTGGTCTCGGCCCGCCTCCCGCCTGTCCCCGCTTCCTTCCCTTCCCTTCCCCCCTCTGTCCTTCCCAGAGGCCTCCGCGGTCTCGCGGTAGCGGGGTGCCGCTGTGAGTTTAGGTGTTGAGGCAATATGGCTCTTGGTTATTACCCCTGCCGGGTGGGGCCGGGTTGTGCCGCCGCGTAGCGTTGGCTTTGGGCCACACGGGACCTAACTGCTCGTCCTGACTCCGCCAGGCGCTCCCGAAAGTGCGGCTCCCCGTGCCTCTTCCCTACCACCCTTTCCACTACCTGGCCCGGATCTGTCATCCCATATGGTGCCTCTCCGTGAGCTCGGGAAGCAAGGCAGCTGACTACCCGAGACTCCGTGTTCTTGGCTCTGAGGTTTCCCACGAAGGAAACGCCACCTTTTGTGTGTAACTTGGGCCCCTGAAAGTGCGTCGTGGTGTGGTCTTGACCTCAGTGAGGTCCGGCTGGACCTCGGAGTTTGATCCTCTCCTCGGGGTTAAGCCGCCACGTAGGGCCAGTCTGTCCATCCCAGCCCAGTTTGCAAAGTTGATTCCTGGCTAATGAGCCAGGAATTCCTGCTGGCTCCGGGCAGGTTGACCCGCTGAGGCCACAGTGCTGTATCTGCTAACAACTTCTGTTCGGAAGAAGAGCCCGACTTTGTCTGTAGAAACTCTCCCATTGTTTAAAAAACTTGGTTGTTTTTGTTTTGTTTTTTGTTTTTGGGTAAAAGTTTCTATTGAGACTTGAAATCACACCAGAGTCCAACTAAAACAGTATAGAAATACCTGAGAGTGATGAAAGCTCTGTTCCAACTTCTTGAGGCTTCTGTGAGCCTGGCTTAGTCAGCAGTTGCGTGGTTTCCTGATGGGGAGAAACAGCAGTGTTAGGGACGAGGGCCTTCCTTTTGTTCTGGGCCAGTCGAATTTTAAGAAGGTTAAAAAACCTGAAAGATCAGTTTTGTTTTGCCCAAAACCAAGGTTATTTCCCCCATGACTTATAAGCTCTATAATGTCATTTGGAAATTGACACGACGCAGAACTGAAAGATTTGTATCGTTTTCTGTAGCTTTTATTTCACAGTACATGGTTGTACAGTTCTTCAGACGAATGCATACTGCTTCCTGCTTACCCGGGTTCCCCCTTGTTAAAATGGATCTATCTCAGACAGTGATCATGACTTAGCAATATTGGAACAGAAGAGTTTTTCTTGGCTGCACTCAGATTGGCAGTATTTTAGATATTCTCAGAAAATAAGAGTGTGAAACTAGTCTGAGGTAAGATGCTTCTCTCATAAAGTATTTTTTGGTAATGCTATACAAAGTGGTCTTTTCTGGATGTCTGATGGTCTAATCTTTAATTTCATTTTAAAAGCTTGTATTGGCCAGGCCTTCTGACACCTTTAATCCTGGCACTCTGGAGACAGGCAGGCAGATCTCTGTTACAGGCTAGTCCACAGTGAGTTCCAGGACAGCCAAAATTAAACAAAAATACTAAAGCTTGTACTGGCTTTGCCCTTAATTTTTAGTGTATGTTCCACTACTGTGCTGATATGGACAACTAAGAATAACTGCCTGCCCTCTCACTATGTAGCACAACTTGGCCCCAAACTCAGCTATCCTCATGCCTCAGCTTCCCTAGTAGAGAAATTACAGACCAGTGTTAGCAAACCCAGATAAGAAGTACTCTTAATCACTGCTTTATCACTCTTTATCAGATGCTTATCATATCCTGCAACTTTGATAAGACTTTGAATACACTGAGGACTTTTTATTTTCATTTTACAAACAAAATTGAAATTTTGGGGAGTGGGGTGCAGAGGGGGAATGAAGTTGCACTTCCAAGGCTGAATTCCCAGCATTGCAGAGCTAACATTTGTACCCAGTTCTCTTGGATCCCAGAGCCTCCCTAGGCCAGCCTATGATACAACCCCCCCCAACTTAATACAAAAGTATAACTAGGCAGTTTATATGTAACCCCATTTGTATTCAACTAATAATCTGGTAGGGGGGGTGTGTTAGACTTGAGAGGTGATGACAGCTCTTTAATATGTGGTGGACAGCTTTTGAACGCCAGCTTGTTTGACGCCAAGCTCATTGCATAATTTCCCCTGCTATTTCTGTCCCCACCTCATTTGGATGCCATTTCCTTCAGTCAGGTACTTACAGTTTGCTAAATAATGGACACTTGGTGCTTATGAAATCCTTGTCCATGGGTTGTGCATTTTGGCACTGGATAGCTGACATGAATAGTTGCTGAAGAAGTAAATGAGTAAATTGGCTGGCTGGTTGTTTAGACATTGGTGTCTCTGAGTCTGTTTAGTTTGAATTAGTCCCCTGAGTTTTAAAATCAACTCTCGCCCACTTTGAGGATCCATCCGGTTGGTCAGGTGCTCCACACCCCTTTATGACATCTGCCTCTCAGCTTTTCAGGCTGAGCATAGTTACTTCAGCCACTCTCTCTTGAGGAGGAGCTAGAGGAAATGAGCATTTTTCTTCTGGCACACTAGCCTGTACCTCAGTGTGCACAGAGAAGACAAAGCATCAAAGATGCCAAAAGGGAGTGAGCATTATCTGGTGAGTTCAGAAGCCTTGGCTGCCTGAAGGGCTGGTACCCTAAATGCAACTCCATATGGGATTGAATAACAGTGTGGAGAGCCTGAAAACTTTGGCAACAGTAAAAGTCATTGATCATTCAATAACCAAATATGAATTCAAAATCAAATATAGGGACTATGAAGTGTTTGTACAGCACTTGGCCATGAGGCATTGTACAGCTTCCCTGCAGCCTGGGTTCCGAGCAGTCGACATGTGCACATTGGTTACATACGCTGTCACACCAGCAGTGCCAACAAAATAGTCTCCTCTGTTCAGATTTGAGGACATCATCAGTTCAAAAGGGTGGTGTTTTTACTAAAATACAGTAATTGCTCTTAAAGGAACATTTTCATTCTGGCAAAAGCTATTTTCCTACTGTCATTCCTCATCATGTATCAAATTAGTGCATACTATGTTAGAATGTTCTGTTTATTTAGAGACAGTGTCTCATCATAATGCCCTGCTGAGCCTGGAACTGACTGCCAGACTAGTCTAGAACTCAGAAATCCACCTGCCTCTTTGACTTCTAAGTGCCGGGAATATTTCATTTATTTTTTAAGTGCTATTCAGGGGCTAGTGAGATGGCTCAGTAGTTAAAAGTGCTTCCAGCAAAGATTGATAACCTAGCCAAGCGTGGTGCGCACACCTTTGATCCCAGCGCTCAGGGAGGCGGAGGCAGGCAGGTCAGGCCAGCCTGGTCTGCAAAGTGAGTCCAGGACCACCAGGCTGCACAGGGAAAACCCTGTCTCAAAAACCAAATAAGACTGATAACTTGAATTTGATCCCCAGGATCCACGTGGTAGAAGGAGATAACTGATTCCCACACAGACGTGCTTGGTGGCACATCCATGTCACCCCCCTCAAAATAAAAAATGTAATTTTAAAATTAAAAATTGCTCTTTGACTACATGCTAGTCTGTCTTTTTTTTTTTTATTACAGTTTATTCACTTTGTTTCCCCCCCCATAATCCCCTCCCTCCCCCCCTCCCGGTCCCACCCTCCCTCCCTCTTCTTCGCACATGCCCTTCCCCAAGTTCACTGATAGGGGAGGTCCTCCTCTCCTTCCTTCTGATCTTAGTCTATCAGCTCACATCAGGAGTGGCTGCATTGTCATCTTCTGTGGCCTGGTAAGGCTGTACTCCCCTCAGGGGGAGGTGATCAAAGAGCAGGCCAATCAGATTATGTCAGAGGCAGTCCCTCTTCCCATTACTATGTAGCCCACTTGGACACTACACTGCCATGGACTACATCTGTGCAGGGGTCAGTCTGTCTTTCAAAAACATTTTTTTCTGAGGCTAGATGTGGTAATCTCAGCACTGGGGGGGGGGGTGTGTGTGTGTGTGGTGGTAGAAGGCAGGTAAATCCGAGTTCAAGGACAGCCTGGTCTATAGAGTGAGTTCCAGTGCAACCAGATCTATACAGAAAAACCCTTTCTCAAAACAAAAAACCCAAAACCTAATTGAGTTGCTTGTGTAGCTTGGCATAGTGAGGAGGTGGCACACCTTCAATCCCAGGAGGCAGAGGCAGGCAGATCTCTGAGTTCAAGGCCAGCCTGGTCAACAGAACAAGTTCCAAGACAGCCAGGACTACACAGACAAATCCTGTCTCAAACAAACAAATAGAACTGCTTACTGAATTTTGGCTTGGGATTAGGACAAAATTTTTGAAATTGCGCTAACTGTATTTCTGCCATTTTATACTACAAATTTATGTAAACTAGCATTCATAGCTTTCATGGTTATCAAATCAAAACATGGATCATCAAAATAAATGCTGATGATGCCCTGTGTCCTGCAACATCAAATGTAGTTAAGATTTCATTCTTTATGATAAAAAAACACATTCACTTGGTTAGTGTGCAAATTGGCCTCTTTCTTAACACTTTCTGTATTTGGTATGTATATGTGTGCGCCTGCTTGGAGAACACCCCACTGAAGCTTGTCCCTGAAGCTTTTGACCCTCCAGCACAGTGGTTCCCTAACGCTGTGACCCCTTCACACAATTCCTCATGTTGTGGTGAGTCCCGAACATAAAATACTATGTTGTTGCTACTTCATAACTGTAATTTTGCTACTGTTAGGAATTGTAATGTAAAGGTCTGATATCTAGCCCCAAAGGGGTCACAAGCCAGGGGTTGAACACTGCTGCTCTAGCAGGATGCCTCCTGCTTTTCTGCCACCCTCCTCCCCTCTCCCACATCTTCTGGAATGCACATCACTTTATTAAGGCTTTCTGTTCACTTGTCCCTGCTACTTATTAGTCCTAGCAGTTTGAAGTCAGAGAACAAACTAGGCTGCTCTGGTG